AGGCGTGAGCCACTGCGCCTGGCAGGGAGATTCGATAAGGTCAGGCTCATTGTTACTTTCACTGAAGCCTGAAATTCAACCGCGTTGTATAGAAAATGTGAGGATCCCTATGTCGGAAATAAGGCAAGGCATAAAAAAAGTGTTACAAACAAAACAAAATATTGCTGTTTGTCTGTTCCATTCAGCAGCCCCATAAATTAGATTGATATATTATAATAAAATAACCCAATATTAGGGATCAAATCAGAAACAGAAGCATTTGCCTTGTTTTCCTAGCTCCAACTTGTAAACATGGGCAGAGTAAGAAGGGAGACCCTTGGGGATTACAAAGAATGATAGAGCTAAAATAAATAAATAAAGCCTAAATTTATTTAAAAAAAAAAAAAAGAGAGAGAGGCTTGAGGAGATTTAGATGTCATTTGTTGGTGAACTCTGTGGCAGCTGCTGCCGTGTGAACTGCCAACAGGACGCACATGAAGCCTGGATGTCTTGCTGTTTGTCACGTTGGCCTCCTTTGATGATCATTTCCCAGACCTACTCATTATATCATTCCTTCTCCAGTTTTATCTGAAATGCCTCTCTAAAGAGAAATTTCTTCTCATTAGCTCTTTGGCTACCCTGAAGTGTGGATCATATAAGAAAGGTAAAACACGTGCTTGAAACTTTCTCTTTATTTTCCAGTTTTGAAAATAATGTGGCCGTTCCCCAGTATCCACCAAAACTGACCAATGAGTCAGTTTCTCTTTATTTAATATACAGATGAGGAACACGCAGCATGACTACGAACAAGAAAATCCAGACCGTGGGAAATTCTGTGAAACAAATAACTCAGTTTCTTCATTTCATATATATTGTCTTTATAGATGTAATTTTCGAAAGTGGATGTTTGCTCAAAACATGTGCATATATATCAACACATATATACACATATACACACACATACATACATATATATTTAGTATATCCACTTTTGGAAATTAACCTTTGGAGTTACTATTTAAGCATGGTTTGGGTTTTTATATAACATTTTCAAATGTTTCTAGCCTACCTTTTGAGAAATAGCTCAAGATTAAAGGAAACAAAGAAACTGGTCCTACTCAGATCACATACATAAACACGTGCCCTCCGCCTTCACATGTGCACACATGTACACTACACACACATACCCTCCATCTGCTATTTGATGTGGAGAAAGAAAAATGTAAAAGAAAAAATGGAATTGATGAGGGATGGAAAAGATGGCTCACATCTCTGGGAGGGTGATAGCTAATACACTGGAGGAGCCAGTGAAGCTTTAGAAGTTCTGTACCGGCTTTTAGAACAAATGTTAGGAAAACAGATCCACTTACCAAAAAAAGCCTAGAATGATCTAAAACCTTTAGATGACATTTAATCGGAATGCTTGACATTTCCTACTTATTTTCAAAAATCAATTTTCCAAGTGTGGGATAGAGGGATCTAAAAGATGTGAGGTTCTACTTGGCAGCAAGCCCTTAAATACCAACATTTTTATGCAATTTCAGCTGTATCAATAAAAGCAGAATGTTCCAGATAGATAACTGTACCCTGCAGTGGTCATGACACAATTGTAGTATTGCATTCAGCTCTGGGTAAAATATCTTGAGAGAGCCATTTAAAAATTGCAGTGTGTTCACTGAAGGAGGGCGACCTGAATGGCGAGGGCGGTAACCTATGCTGTGGGAAGAATGGCTGAAGAGTTCAGGATGTTTGACTTGGACAAGGGGATTCTCAGAGAAGGGCTGAGGTGCATTCAAATATTTGAATGGCTGCCATGGAGAAGGGGTGGGGAGAGCTGATTCAATGTGTGTCCTTCCAGAGGACAAAGCACAGCCTCTGAAAGGCAGATTTAGGATCTAAGCAAGGAATAACTTTTTAGCAGATGCAGCTATTTCACAGGGCAATAAGAGGCTTTGTGAAATGGTGAGCTCCCTGTTACTCAAAGTGCTTAAACAAAACTGGGGACAATTTGATGAGACAATCTTTGGGATTCTGACAATTTCTATATTCTGGTTTTATGCTCCAGAGAAGGAAGAAAACCCAATTCTACAAGGACTTTATTAAGCAATCACTTGGGCAATACCCTGTGCCAGCTAGAAAAGCACAGAGAGACAGGAGTTTAATTAAAATTGCCAAAACAACTGCGGTGCTGTTCCTCCTTCCTGCTTCTCCCAACCTCAGCACAAGTCACCGACAAGTGGTTACTATGCTTCGATTCTTTCACGCTGCATTTACAAACACTGCCTCAGTACACAACTGCTCAGTCAGTTTTCCTGCCTGACCAACTGTGGTTTGTGGCTGCAGCTGTTAAAGGCTATTTGTAAAATCTTGTTCATAGTTGGTTTGAGCCTATGTTCAGAAAGAGCCATCTTCTTTCCGACTACTCCTTGCCACCCTAGACCTTCTGCTGCTGAGTCAGGGGCCGCCACAATGCAAATAGCAGACTCAAGTGCATTGGGGGCCACTGCTCCCCACTGAATGTGCCTTGACTTGGTCCATGACTACAAAGGGACTGTATCTTTGGCTGGAAGGGGTCAGAGGAAAAACTAGGTTTGCAGATGAGAGTCATCAGAATCTTGAGGATCCTGCTTCTTGTGATGCATCTTGGCAAGTTGATGCCTTTTACTGGATCCATGATCACTTTTTTCTCTGAACCCAGGAAGAAGCATTACAAATACACTGTAAGCTATTAAAAATGATGAAATATTGCCAGCATGAAATGATTTATTCAAATCAGAGCAAAGAAGGGTGAGCTCATTCCAAGAAAAATCCATCTGTACAAATGTCATTAAAAATGTCCACCACTGGGAATGATAGTAAGAGGGGGAAAAAATTGTCCACCAAACAGAAACTAAACTGCTACCGTGGCGATTCCCAAGAGGGGAACTGAGGAGGGGGAGAAGAGAGATTTTACCTTCTACATCATATGTTTCCATGTTATTTGAGGTTCCTTTTTTGCATGTGCTTTTTTATATTAATAAAGACACATTGCCATTTTGAAACAGAAAGACATGCCCACCAAGAAGATGAGATTGGGTGTAAATTGTGATAGTTACAAGACTGCTATTTACTTCACCAGAGAAAGCTAAGGTAGTCTGTAAAAGTAACACTTTCAGAGCTGGCTACATTTTAAATTTGTGATTGCTATTTTCCTGGATACTGCTGGCATGTTTGAAAATACATATGGTATTATGTATGCCCTAAATGGCTGTTCACAAATGGGATCAAAGCTACACAAAACACATTTATAATCAATTTCTTTTGTCCTTTATAGATCTTATTGGCCTGCCATGGGTGTGCTTTATATATACAATCATGAGTCTAGCATCCCTGCTTTTTGTTGTTATGTTTATACCTGAGACAAAGGGGTGCTCTTTGGAACAAATATCAATGGAGCTAGCAAAAGTGTAAGTATTACATGCATTGGTTTCTGAACAATACTCTTTGGTCAAAAGTGCAGCTTTTATATGCAGCAAAGGAATAATATCTGAAATTATTTTAGGACATTCCCTTTAGCGTAAGACTATATCTTAGTGCATAATTCCAATTTCCCTGCCTTGTCTTTAATTTGGGTGATGCAACTAAGGAAGAATAACCATTTCTTCCCAACGAGTGAAACTTTTTTTTTTCAAACTACAAAGTGAATGCATTTGATTGGCAAGTGCAAAATTTCATTTATCGATGAAATATTGTACTGAATTTGAATAAAATCTTTACAATTGGATTTTTTTTTTTTTTTTTTTTGAGACGGAGTCTCACTCTGTCTGTCGCCCAGGCTGGAGTGCAGTGACACAATCTCGGCTCACTGCAAGCTCTGCCTCCCGGGTTCACGCCATCCTCTTGCCTCAGCCTCGCCCCGCTAATTTTTTCTTTTGTATTTTTAGTAGAGACGGGGTTTCACCGTGTTAGCCAGGATGGTCTCAATCTCCTGACCTTGTGATCCACCCACCTTGGCCTCCCAAAGTGCTGAGATTACAGGCATGAGCCATCGTGCCCAGTCTACAATTGGAATGTTTTTAACATGTTAGTGTTTTATAATTATCATCAAACTGTAATGCTATTATTCATTACTGTGACCAACCAATGTATAGGTGCAAGGTTACAAGCTTTTTCCTTTTACACGAAACAAAAAAAAAAATACGTCATTGTAATTAAAAAGCATTAAACCACACTTTCCTTTTTTTGTAATGTAATAATTTTTAGTAGAACAAAGTTTAATATTTTCACTGTCTGCATTTCTTTTCTGAAAGAGAAACTGTTATTACTGTTGTTTTACTTGACTTTTTTCTGAAATTAATTTTGTTGTATAGAGGATGTAATTCTGCTGTGCTAAGGATTAAAACTATCTCATTAAAAAAATTTTTTATTTCCGTAGATTTTTGGGAAACAGGTGATATTTGGTTACAGAGTAAGTTCTTTAGTGGTAATTGTGAGATTTTGGTGCACCCATCACCGGAGCAGTATACACTGAACTCAATTTGTAGTCTTTTATCCCTCACCGCCCCCGCAGTGCTTCCCCCACCCAGTCCCCAACCAACGGGTGAATGTTTTAAAGCTCTACTCAGTAACCATCTCAGAACTTCTTCCGTCTCTCCAGCTCCCCCTAGCAGGTTTTCTTTGTTTGGGGTTTGGGGTGGGTCCTGGAAATGTAGATATACCATGTTCACCCTGGGCTAGGAGCTTAGGCCTCAGCCTTTCCATTTCTATCAGACTTATGGCTCCTTCTCTGTGCCCTAAACACTTGCTAAGGCTAAGATTAGCAGAAACACTCTCAGGCTTAACCGTCTACAGTTGTTCTAAATAGTGCACATTTAAGGTAATTTTAAGAAAGATAAGCTTCTTATATGAATAGGCATTTAGAAAACTCGTTAAAAAATTTCACAAGGAGAGATTGTTTAAACAATTTAACTTAGAAGTGGAACATTTAATTTAGAAGTGGGTGGCAGAAAATTCCCTTTCCTGTTTTAGTAGCTCTAATTGCCAAAACCATGTCCTGGGGGAAGAGGTGAGACATAGGGGCTAAGAATGAAGGAGAACTTGTTACTCTTCCTAGGATTACATCATTTCATTTAGAAATGCAGGGATACTTGTTCTTGGGTTTTAATATAATGGGAGGAAACTACATTTTCACAATTTGTGATTTTCTTTTAAAAATACTTTGAAAACAGTAGAGGGAAATGTATGATTATAGATACTGTGGGCATAGCGATTCTTCAGCATTTACTTGAAGGAAGAATAAACCTGATAGGTGAATTGTTAGTAGGTACATGTGTGCATGTGTATTTATATTGAACCAACCATTAATCCTGGCTTATTGGGGGTATGGTAAGTAGGATTGTGGAAAATTTTCACTTTGTGCTTTATACACTTTTAGATGGTCTAAATTTTAAAAATATTTTACTTTACAAAAAGCAGAAAAAAATTCTCCCAGTTTAAGCTTAAGATAAATATCAAATTATAAGGCTTTTTTTTTTTATACAAATGAGGCCCTGTTTTGAAAAAAATAAAATGAAAATGATTCATTTACAATGGGAAATAAAATTGTGAGGAAGGCTGGCTATATCCTTGGACTAACCAATGCACTGCCTGACTCTATCCAAGTGGAGGTCAAAATGATTGGATTTCTTGGTGTGCATTAGACTCTGAATAATGGCTATCAATTACAAATATGATTTAAAGCATCAGTGGCCTCAGACTTTAATAACTCAATGTATCCACCTGTAAACTGGCAACATTCCTCATGGATTCAGGTTTTTTCCATAACTGAGATGCCAGGACATTGATGACTTCCAAATCTATTGATCTTCCTTCATTTCTCATCCTTCCTTGTGCCTGTTTCACATCAATTATCCATTGCTGCATAACAAAAGCATCCCAAATGTAGCAGCTGAAAACAATGAACCATTTCCAATGATTCTTTGGTTTGGCTGGGTGGTGCCTCTGCCTGTTTTGCCTGGGCTCACTCACGCGTCTCCCTGGGCAGGAGGGCCCACAATCGCTGGGACTTGATCACATAGGTGGCAGTAGGTGCCAGCTGTCAATGGGGAGCTTCAGTTCTCAGTGGCTTCTCATCCTTGAGGAGGTAAAGTGGCTTCCTCACATGTCAAACTCAGGGTAGCTTTCCAAGGTAGTGAAGGCAGAAAGAAGCTGCAAGTCTCTCTGAGGTTTACATCAGGAATACACGCATCACTTTGACCATTTTCTATTGTCAGCACAAGTCCTGAGGCCAGCTCAGATACAAGGGGTGAAGAAAGAGACCTAACCTCTTGATGAGATGAAGGGCAAAGAATTTCTGACCACATTTAATCTACCACACCTACTCTTTCTTGAAGTTCTTTTAGCTATGTGAAACAATCTTCTTTCCTGGATGGCCTCCTAGCTCACGACTCTAATCTCCTGATTAGAATCTTCTGTTCCTATGTTTTACCTAGCTTTGAAGATTCAGCTCTACATCCTTACGCTTTTAGACTCAACTCAAGTACTCATCCTCGAAGTCCTGAGTAGCTCTAGCCCTGGAGAGTAATCCTTTGTCCTAGATTTTCAATATCTTCTCGCCTTCTTTTCTTCTATACTGCGTTGGCTAGAACTCTTGTGGTTTCACCTTGTTAATTAATAAAGTTTTAGTTTCCAGGAATGCTCTGTCCATTATCTTTCTTATGTAACTCCTACAAAGCCTACCTAGCTTAATATTGATTTCTGGTAGATGATTAAAAAGTATCCACTGTTCAATTTTATAACTTGTTTTGTTGGCTTCGTGGTAAATCCACTTTGTGTATATGTACCTTTGAACTACTCATCTACTCACTCAGGGAGCAAAATTCCTGCAAACATTTTGTGGCCGGGTGTACTGGCTCATACCTGTAATCCCAGCACTCTGGGAGGTGAAGGCAGGCAGATCACTTGAACCTAGGAGTTCGAGACCAGCCTGACAACATGGCAAAACCCCATCTCTATCAAAACCACAAAACATTAGCTGGGCGTGGTGGCTTGTGCCTGTAGTCCCAGCTACTCTGGAAGCTGAGGTAGAAGGATCATTTGAGCCTGGGAAGTTGAGGCTGCATTGAGCTGTGATCGTGCCACTGCACTCTAGCCTGGGTGACAGAGTGAGACCCTGTCTCAAAAGAACACAGAAAAATAAGAGTAAAATTTTGTGAATTCTTGTGAACAAAAATAACTAAAAAATGGAGGCAGGGAGAAAGTAACAATTAATTAATTGAATGAAACTATATAGGCCTCCTTTACTATCACAACCCACTGTACTCTCTTAAAAAAGTCTAACTTGAAAGCAGAATGTTCTGCATAAGATTAAGGACTTTCAAATCCCTTTTTTCATATAAGGTTGTCAGAATGTATCAAATTGCAAACCAAATGAAAATTCAATGACAGAACTTAAGAAAATCTAATCTTTCTTTCTAGTAGGCTTCCAGAATAAGATATTCCTTAAGAACATATGATGTGGGTATCTAAAATGCAACAGAACTTATTAATTCAGAATTTGGGGTGGGGAAAGAATCTGTCTAAATTATTAAAATTCTGACTTATGAAATGTTTTTGAAAGAATCACATTTCTGTTACTTTTGAGTCATGCAATTACTCAAATTTAAATCCAGACCCTCTCCAAGAACGTTATAAATTGCAAATTAGGAGAGGACCAAAAGTCAAAGGTATGTTGACCTCTAAACAGACTATAGGAGAACTGCAAGGTTTGTAATGAAGAACAAAAATACAGGCAATTAAGAAAGATGAGATGGCAAAACAATTTTACATTTTAAAGTCATTACAGCAGTAGTAATACCTACTAGCTATAAACCATGAGGAAGCCCAGTACCGAGGACAAAAAGGAAAAGGTTCTTTTAGAATTTTTTTTCCAACATTTATTTTAGAATCAGGGGGTACATGTGCAGGTTTGTTACAAAGGTTTACTGCATGATGCTGAGCTTTGGAGTATGAATGAATCTGTCACCCAGGTAGTGAGCATAGTACCCAATAGGTAGTTGTTTAGCCCTTGCCCACCTCCATCGCTCTCCTCTCCAGTCGTCTCAGTGTCTATTTTTGCCTCTTTATGTCCATGAGTACCCAATGTTTAGCTCCCACTTATAAGTGAGAACACACAGTACTTGCTTTTCTGTTTCTGCATTAGTTCACTTAAGAAAATGGCCTCCAGCTCCATCCATGTTGCTACAAATGATTTGGTTCTTTTTGATGGCTGTGCAGTATTCCATGGTGTATATGTATCACATTTTCTTTATCCAATCTACTGCTCATGGACACCTGGGTTGATTCCATATGTTTGCTATCATGAATACTGATGCGATG